GATATAATAGGTAATGACGCAGAGTAATCTAGTTGTGGTCGCTGATACTTTTAATATCCGACTAACGGTCGTCCGACATCGAATTGACTGACCAACTCGATATTTAGTCACCCACCCCTACGAGGGCATCATGTGGCACAAGGCAATTTTAACGTGGGATCCTTCGAGCCCGTTTTGAAATTGAGTTTGTGGGATCTCCGAGCCCGTGGGCTCGGAAATTTAATATCTTCCCATTGAACCTGTATAAACGGGTTCAGGGTCAGTTTTCTTCCCCGAAAGAGAATCCGCCCTTCGGCGTAGCCTCGTTCGGGTTCCTTTCAAAAATTTAAAGGTAGTTCAACTGATCAGCCAGTCGACTGACTGACCAACTCTCTGATTTTTCCTAATATTTTCCTACTTATTATAGGTGGGAGAGTCTCTTAACTATAGAATAGTGTGTGTTCCAGTATAACAATAAAACAAATTGAAAATTTGAAGTTTATTCAGGTTCACTAAAAAGTTTTTATTTTTTTTATTTTAATATTTTGCAAAAATAGTTTTAGGATACGAATACTTATAAATTTGTATCTGGTGCGTAAGCCGATTATTGAAGATCCAGCTATTACTCCGTTTCTATGCCATTTTTGTAGAAAATTATACTAGTAAACCATCCAGTAACTAGTTATCAATAGTAATGGTATGGCATTATTCAGTAACAATTATTGAACTTGACTTTTCAAGTCATGTTAAGTTAAACTATGGTCGGATGATGTCAGATTTGTGTACTTGTGTAATCGTGTTTATTCTGAGATTACATAAGGTCTTGAACATATATTAAGAAATGGACAAAGTCCGACAATTTATTTTATTAAAGACATTTTGATGTTTAACGTTTTTTTTATAGATACAAGTAATTAATAAATGCTCTGTTTATAATAAACAGTAATTAAATAACATTTACCGGCCTCAAATGTTTTTCATTTTTCAAATAAAAATTTTCGTCCTTTGATATATATATTGAACCTGCATCTAATTACGAATAGACACAATGAATTTTTATTTTCCGGGAACAAAGGAGCGTTCAGGAAGATTTGAAGTTTATAAGCATTAAATTCAATTTTTTTAATACCGAATTTTTACTTTTCTGGCAGAATTAAATAAGGCACGTCAAAAAAAAATGATTGTTCCGTACACTGATGCAGGTTCGAATCCAGTCAATGACGAATATTTTATTAAACATATATTTATTGAAATATTATGTTTTCAAACTCGTCATTTTTAATTGAATTCATAAAAATTCAAAATAATGTCAAAAACCTTTTTTTTGCGGACCATCAAAAATTTTACACGGACCACCAGTGATCCGTATACTAATGGTTGTCGATTTTTGGTCTAAATCACAATAATATTAGAATATCCGAGATCTGTTGCATCACAGACGGTTAAGGTTATAAAATATTGAAGTTGATTTTAACGTTCCATTGAAATGAAAGTTAATTTTATTATGATTCAGTTAAATATTTAAATTTGTTCATGTCATCATGTTCATGTTTAACGTTTTACTGATTGTCTACAGCAATTAATAGAAAGAGAACTTCCAGAATAAACTTGAACTTTAAATCAGATTAACTTAATATTTTTAAAATGCCAAAAAATATTTTAAGATCATATTTACTTGAAAATATTTTTAAATATGGCAAAAAACATTTTTTTAAATATTTAAAATATTGTTTGTTTAAAGAAAGCTGAAATATAGTTAATTACTCTACAAACAACTGGACGAAACAGCAAAGCGGGATCTTTTTGTGTCTGTCGTTAACTTAAAAATATTGTCTGTTTCAAGAAAGTTAAAATAAAAATACTAACTCATATTTTTAAAACTTATTCACTTAAAACAGATTAACTTAACTCATTATGCGCTGGACGCACGCACCAGGCAAGCACACACGCAATCACAGACTTTTGTATTATACAGACAGATTTTTGTACTAAACTATTCTCAGCTGAATGAAGCGTTATAAGCTACATTTCTCTTCCATATCTCAAAAAAATTCAGTCAGTTTAGTGCCATTGGTGATAAACTGCTTGGGCGGTCATGTTTCTTTCATGATTGGCCAGGCAGAAGATTTTCTCCGTAGTTGGTTGCCGTTTCTTTTTGCGTTAGATTGGTGGCTAACCAAGGCTATAGGACCCAGTATTTAACCCATAGCCGGGGAACGAAGAAATGGATTCGTACATTTCCCAAGTATATTTGTACGCGAGTGAATGGCAACGAACCCGACTGGAATTTGAACGATATCCATTGCACCACAACACACTTTCTCAGACACGTGGTTATAATTGTTTCAGGCGTGTGAACAGTATAGGTCTGAGTGAATACCATCCTTGTTGGTAACTCGTGGACTGGCGCTACAGAATCACGAAGAAAGAGCTGTACCAGATAACAGAAATCTGTAGACTTCCAACAGCAGCAACAACAAAAATGGATGGCACATGTAAGTTGAAGAGAAAATACCAACATAATCAAGATGGTGGCGTTCCACAGGACCTCTAACGTAAGGTTAGGAAGGAAACTCCCACCAGTACTGGAAAGAGCGAAAACGGTTAGTGGATTTGAAGAACCAATTTTCCTGACAAAAAATTTTTTTATAATGAACAATTTTAGAAATTTATTTACAAATTTGCTTATAATGAATGCCAATTAGTTTTTTTTATAAAGAAACAGATTATATTACCATTGGAGATGAAGAGAACAGATACTATACTTTGATCCATGTTCAATAGCCAGAGAGTGAAGAAAAGTAAAATTTACATTTTAGAACTAGTTTAGGTCAATGAATGCCATATGCTTCCTTTTATTAATTTCTTTAATATTACCATTACCATTAGAGATGAGGAGAACAGATACTACACTTTGATTGTAAAGGAACGAAGAAGAGTTTAACTCAAGGCTGCTAGGTCAATGAATACAGAATGTTTTTTCATAATGAAACGGCTAATATCAGCATTCGGGAGTGTTGTTGATATTTTTACGCAGAAAACTAAACTTGTTAGACTTAAAGGCCACGCACGGATTTCTTGGATAATTATAAAAAGAATGGGTTGTGGGAGAGGTAGACGAGGGAGGCCGAATGTGGGTGAGTAATAAATGCTGATAAATGATTTTAAACAGTATCTATCTATATTTCTGAGATGAGGTATTATATACACCATTTACATTATTCGGACTATTGTCCTCATCTTTGTCGCTATATTTATTACAACATTTCGGCCCTTCAGTATCTGTCTATATTTCTGAGATGAGGTATTATGTACACCATTTACATTATTCAGACTATTGTCCTCATCTTTGTTGTCATATTTATCACAACGTTTCAGCCGTTGTACGCTCCGGCCTTAAGGAAACATGGCACAGTGGATAAAGGCGTTGGTTAGATCCAGTGACAGGACCCAAATAATTTTGAGTTCAATACCTGGTTAAGGCGGTGGAGAACTTGCAGAGGGGAATTAACAGGAGATGACTGATGACTGACATTCCATTAGACATGGCACGTGGAACTAGAACAGGTTCAGTTGTGATACATATGGCAAAAAAAAAAAATGAGAACAATAGTCCAAATAATGTAAATAGTGATTTTAAACTGTTAGTATCTGATGTATCTCTTCAAAATGGTAAAGGAGGAGATCTATGATAATTTTAGACACAGACAGACAGGGACACACAAATTATATATATATATATATATATATATATATATATATATATATATATATATATATATATATATATATATATATATATAAATCGAGTGGTTAGAAAAAAAACTTTCAACCAAATGGAAGACCCAGGTTCGATCGAATTTCCCCGTAGTTGATTTGTCAGGATGTAGACGTCCTGATGTTATAAGTCTGGAGGAGGACATTCTCAGTGTGCAGCACCTTTGTAAAATCATTTTGCAATGCATTCCTATAATAAAAATCCTTTTCCAATGCATTCCTATAGTAAAAATCGTTTTCCAATGCATTCCTATAGTAAAAATCCTTTTCCAATGCATTCCTATAGTAAAAATCATTTTGCAATGAATTTCGATAGTAAAAATCATTTTCCAATGGATTTCTATAGTAAAAATCATTTTCAAATGAATTTCTATTGTAAAAATCATTTTCCAAATCATTCCTATAGTAAAACTCATTTTCCAATTCATTCCTATCGTAAAACATAATGTTCCAATTCATTCCTATAGTAAAAAATAATTTTGCAATGCATTCATATAGTAAAAATCATTTTCCAATGCATTCCTATAGTAAAAAGCCTTTTCCAATGCATTCCTATAGTAAAAATCCTTTTCCAATGCATTCCTATCGTAAAAATCATTTTCCAATGCATTCCTATATTAAAAATCATTTTGTAATGCATTCCTATAGTAAAAATTATTTTCCAATGAATTTCTATAGTAAAAATCATTTTCCAATTCATTCCTATAGTAAAAATCATTTTGCAATAAATTTCTATAGTAAAAATCATTTTTCACAGAAAATCTATAGTGAAAATGATTTTCTATTTCATTCTTGTAGTAGAAATTATTTGCAATACATTCTCATGAAAGCCTTTGGTATTGTTTGTTATTATATATTAGCCAAGGATATAAAATTCTAACCGTTTTTTGAAATGTCAACAATTAAATTGATGTTGGCATTAAAATGTATTTGTATTTATCGTCTTAGTTCACTGCTGACATGTTAAATCAACAAATATACTGTTATTAATGAAACTTTGAAGATATTCGTTAAAGGAATCCTAAATTCTGGAAACCTCAGTTGCAGGAACAGAATATGAAGGCAGGTGCAGAGGCTGGGGACAAGGAACACTGCTTCTGCAATGACATAAAATCCTCAGAGACTGTGACCCAATTATGCTGGCCCGATTCAGGGTAGGGCCAAGTGCAAAGTACGCCTCAAGGACACCGTTGGGTAGATGCTGAATTATGAAAAGTAAATAAATAAAAAGGATATTGCAAAAATCAACGGATATATATGTGGCTGAAAGAGCTAGAGGGAGACAGAAAGAAGGCAAGAGGTAGAGGGAGGTGGAGGAGAAATAAGCAGCCATTAGAGAGAGAGAGAGAGAGAGAGAGAGAGAGAGAGAGAGAGTGGAGGAGAGTTAAGAAAGAAAGGGAAGAAGAAGTAAAAGGTGGATGAGAGATGGAGTAGAGGTGAGAAGGATATTGAGTCAGTGAAAGTGAAGAGAAATGGTCACTGAAAATAAGAAAAGAAAGAAAGTAGATGAAGGCAGAAGAAAGAAGTGGAAGGGTGTGTGTATGAGAGAGAGAGAGAGAGAGAGAGAGAGTGAGAGAGAGAGAAGGAGATAGATAAGGATAGATAAGAGAGATGGATTTTACGAATAAGTGAGTGAAAGAGAATCTTTTTTAAAGAATGAGAAAAATCTGTAGATGGAGAGGCGTGAGCGAAAGAGATTTTTTTGCGAGAGAAAGAGAGGGAAAAAGGACTTGATGGGGAGAGATTCGAAGAGGAGGATAATTTTACGAACAAGTGAGGGAAAGTGAAGTATTAGAAGAGAAAGAAGATAAATGAAGACAAAGATAGATACATAGATATTAACAGACTGAGATAGATATGAAAAGAGACTGAGATAGATAGATAGATAGATAGATAGATAGATAGATAGATAGATAGATAGATATGAACAGAGACTGAGATAGATATGAACAGAGTGAGATAGATAGGTAGATATATAGATAGATATGTACAAAGACTGGGATAGATAGGCAGATATATAGATATATAGATAGATATGTACAGAGACTGAGATAGATAGATAGATAGATAGATAGATAGATAGATAGATAGATAGATATGAACAGAGACTGAGATATATATATATATATATATATATATATATATATATATATAGATAGATAGATAGATAGATAGATAGATAGATAGATATAGAACAGAGACTGAGATAGATAGATAGATAGATAGATAGATAGATAGATAGATATGAACAGAGACTACTTTTCTAGTATATTTATATATATATATATATATATATATATATATATATATATATATATATATATACAGGTTGGTAGTTAGGAATATAGATATAAAAAAGAGAAGGATTTGGAGTGATTGAAATTGAAGAGAAACGGTAACTAAAAATAAGAAAAAGAGATAGACTGTAAATGGAGATCGAATAAAGGCGAGATAGACAGATAGATATGAACAGAGACTTAGATAGAAAGATAGATAGGTAGAGAGACGGAGAGAGACAGAGAGAATAAAAGAAAGAGAAAAACACTTGACAAGGAGGATATTATGAACAAGCGAAAGTAAGAGAACATGTTATAAAGAAAAGAGGAAAACGGTATACGAAGGTCGAAGAAAGGAGTGAGACTGATGTATATATATATATATATATATATATATGTTATAGGACCTTACCCATAATAACATAATGGACTATTCCATACGTAATAAATACTGCGCCTCAAGAGGAAGCAGGGTGTTCAGCCTGAAGTCTGAAGTGAAGTCCGTCAGGAGTCTGTCAGTCAGAGCAAGCGAGTCAGTCAGTCGAGTCAGAGGCAGTCCGAAACAGAGTCGAGTTCAGACAATTACTGCAAGATATTGGAATAGTGATACTGGTCGAGACTACATTGTTCTCCCTACTAAACCTGATTGTTCGTAGTAACACTTTTCTACTTCTCTGTATATATTCCTGTTTGTAATATATCTGTGTTATTCCATACCTGTGTTCGAGTTCTTCTTTATTGGTTCAACCTTGGACTATTACCGTGGTACAAGGAACCGGACCATAACAATATATATATGTATATATATATATATATATATATATATATATATATATATATATATATATATATATATATATGATATATATATGAGATGAAATATGTATCATGTGTGTATATATAACCAGGGAGAGATCAAAATTATAAAGAGAAAAATAATAAAAATGAGTAACAAACACAACATTAGGGATCATATATATATCCAATTTTTCAAGAAGAAGGATAGAACATTTGGAGGAAAAGATAAAGAGAAAATTTTATGGGAAAACGAGTAAGAGCCTATTACAAAATGTGGGGGAAATACTATTGAAAAAGAGAGAGAGAGAGAGAGCGTGTGTGTGTGAGAGAGAGAGAAATAAATCATTTGAGGAGGAGATATAAGAGAGGGGGGTTCATGAACAAGTACCTGAAGAGAAGATTTCGTTTTTTCTCGTGCCCCTACGACAAGGTGCAGCAAAATGATCCGGCATATTTGTAGGTTTAATCAAAAGAACGAGAAATGTGTGTGTGTTTTTTTTATTTATTTTCGAAAGGTACATATAACGCCATTTTGTTTCATTTTATTTTCAGATGCCAACAGGAATTGAGTGGACGAGCATCACTGTGGAAACGTTTAACAAGACAAGGAGCGCTCCGTGTGTACTTCAGGCTTAGACATGATCCCATGCCTACTCGAAACTCGATTTTGTTATGGGTTACCAACTTCACATCTAGTGGATCAGCATTGAAACGAAAAAACAAATATATTGACCTGGGACCAAGGGAGAAATCCGGATAATGTAGATTCATTTTAAAGAACCTTAGTTGAACAGATGGGACGCCCTTCACTTAATGAAGATTTAAACAAAAAACGAAACGAAACAAAGTGGCAGTATACGTACATTTCGAAAATAAAAACGCATTTTTCGTTCTTTACTCTAGTTCGCTTTTATCAAACTTAGAAATGTGTCAGATCATATTGCCGCACCTTATACAGGAATTTAAGCGTGCTACTAGATTGTATAAAAAAATGGCTTAAGTTCTAAAAAACACACATCTTATGAGCAACGGCCATCAATAAAAAGCATGTTAAATAATTGAGTTATCGCAGATTATTTATATAAATTCATATTGATATCAAGACAAGAAAGATTATGAAACAGCCCTAAAAGATCGAGGATTTTCGGCAACTCTCTCTCTCTCTCTCTTGCACACACTCACACACACACTCTCTCTCTCTCTCACACACACACACAAAGAAAAAAAAAACAGGATAAGAAGCATTATATGGTTTAACCCACCGTACAACAGAAACGTAAAAACAAATGTAAGAAAATATTCATCAAACTCATACACAAATACTTCCACCTATCAATAACTCTCCGCAAGACATCCAACAAAAACACAGTAAAAGTCAGCTACAATTACACTGAGAAATGACATAAATAATAATAAAAAACACAAGAAAACAACAAACAAACCATCCACGCAATTCAAACCCACGGATAAGTACAGAGCAAAGAACAAATGTCCTTTAAATGGAACTTGCTCACAGAACAATGCCACTGTAAAGTCAGAAGACGACGAAGAAAAATATACATAGGCGTAACTGAAGGACCCTGGAAACAAAGAAACTATGCACACAAAACAACCTTTAAAAATAGTAAATACGTGAACAGTACGATACTTTCTAAAAATGTATGGAAATTAAAACCAAAAACCAAATCACACCAAAAATATGGAAAATAAGGAAAACAGCCTCATAAAAAACAATAAATCCCAATTTCATTAATATATTCTGTTTGGATGGGAAAATAGCTACAATTGTCTTCCCAGACCAATACAAATTACTAAATAAACTATCAAAACTCATCTCTTTGTTTTTTGCAAAATGCAGACACGAAAACAAATTTTTACTTAAACTTAAAAATTAAAAGCTAAAAACGAGCAAAAAAAATAAAAATAAATGAATAAGTAAAATAGATTAACTCAAATAAATAAGTAAATAAATTAAGTAAATAATAAACAAATTAACACACTGTGAATGCGTACATAAACACAAGTAAATACAGTAATAAAAATCAACAACAAATACCAAAGCAACATGTTAAAGTTACCATTTGTAAAAAAATAGCCAAAATTTGTAAAATTTGATCTACAAAATTTCCATCCAATAAATTTAGAATAATTTGAAAAATGTTCAAAACCAATTTAAAAATAACCAAAACAGAATAATACAATAAAGCTACCCATAATGCATCACTGATTATCATATATAACTAGTCGAGCCAAAATACGTTTTTTTTTGATGATTGTAGATTAATCATTATAAAGACTGTTTTTGTTGACCTCAATGAATTACTTCATATATATATATATATATATATATATATATATATAAATACTTGAAAGTACTGCTACATAGAGACATGAAATTTTTAAAACCCCAAAAAAAAAACACTATTCTTAAGAGAGTGCTCAATACAAAGTAAAGCTATCTAATTTATAACATATGCATGTTATAAATTCACTAATTTGTTTTGCAAAAGATTTTATAACATGCATACTATAAATTTGGAATATATATATATATATATATATATATATATATATATATATATATATATATATATATATAAAAAAAAAAAGAACAGTAAGATATATAATCCGGTGTTCTTATTGATATTTTTATTTTTTCAAAACAGTGCTCAATGTAAATTTACAGAGCATAAATATTATAAATTAACTGATTTAAAATATGGTTTCTTCACTACACAGTAATAACCATTTTTTTGAAAAAAATGAATCTAAAAAAATTAAATTTAATTAAATAATTAAATTAAAAGCATTAGTTTTGTTTTCATCTTGAAGAAAATTTTGGAATAACTTATTTTTAAATTTACTGAGTTTTAAAAACGTATAAAAATATATAATTTCCTGTTTTTCTAAAGATGTTGAAAAAATTCAATGAATAGAAAACAATAAACATATATTTATAATATATATATATATATTGTATAATTTATGAAAAAGATGTAAGGCAAAGAACAGTCACCCATGTAGGTACTGATCAGGCTCAATGTTGTTTAATATGAAGAGCGTATGGAAAAATTTTTCAACATCAAATTCTAAATTATGCTCTGTTAGTTGGAAGTATTTAAAATCATAATATTGAACGATGTTTTTTTATAAAAGATTACGCAGGTTCGATCCCTGAATTAGATATAGCCCATTTTCTTGAATTGGATTTGATCCGAATGCATAAAGTTTTTGGACATATATTTATAAAAAAATGGGGCTTAACTATTTAAAACGAGTATTCACTGTAATAACAGAAACCTATAATTAATCATGCTTTATTTGATTTATGATCTTCCATGACTGAAAACATGATGGAACTTTTTATTTACTTTTGATAGGAAAAAAAAATGAATCAGGCTTCGTTTTCATTTTTGCTTTTCGATAAACTTTGTACCCTAATTTGTTATCGTTTTTGATTAATAGACTGTAATGGCGGCCTTAGCATTAACAAGAAAGACAAAGCAACAAGATAAGAAGTGGCAAAAGTTTTTTAAAAAATAATGGTAAAAAATGATTTAAAAGTTTTTAAACCTTGTTCGATCGTAGATAAAGTCGTGGGAAACTGAATTTTTCATTTAAGATAGTAGATAGATAGAGAAATGGAAAAAGCATAAGCATTTATTATATCGAAAGTCTGTTAACCTGTAAATGACTATTAAACTAGTGTTGACATCAATTTCTGACTTAAAAATTGGAGCGACATTGCTGTTGTTCCCAAGTATGAAGACATAAATATTTGTATTTGTTGTTAGTAAATAGAATAATCAAAGAAAGGTTGGTAATGAACGACAATACCTAGGACAAGGACACATATAAGATTCGCCAGCGGCGCGTAGAAGTAGTAGTCAACTACTAGAAGTGAATCAAGTTGAATATGACATTGAATTTCCAACTGTAGTATATCTAACAACCGCCCCACGCGGTCAGATGTGTCACAAGGATAATTGAATGTGGGGTATAAAGAGCCCGTAGGCTCAAAAGTTTTTCCAAATAGAACCCGAAGTTCAGTTAGTTTGAGACGATAGATAATGCCCTTCGGATATACCAAAAGATAGGGGATAGAAATAAGATTAACATAAATTTGACCATACAGCTGGAGATAATCTCCGACTGCAGACCAGATAGATATAAACAGAGCAGATAGATAGATAGATAGATAGATAGATAGATAGATAGATAGATATGACCGAAATGAGATAGATATGAACAGAATGAAATGTATAGATAGACAGATAGATGGATAGATAGATAATGAACAGAATGAGATAGATGGATAGATAGATATGAACAATGAGATACATAGATAAACAGACACACAAATAGATAGGTAGATAGATAGATAGATAGATACGAACACAATGAGACAGATAGATAGATACGAACAGAATGAGATAGACAGATAGATGGATAGATAGATATGAACAGAATGAGATAGATGGATAGATAGATATGAACAATGATAGATAGATAGATAGATATGAACAGAGAATGGGATAGATAGATAGATAGATAGATAGATAGATAGATAGATAGATATGAATAGAATGAGAGATAAATAGATATGAACAGAATGAGATAGATAAATAGATATGAATAGAATAAGATAGATATGAACACAATGAGATAGGCAGATAGATGGATAGATATATATGAACAGAATGAGATAGATAGATAGATAGATAGATAGATAGATAGACTGAAGTAGGTAGATAGATATATGGATAATGAACAGACTGAAGTAGATAGATAGATAGATAGATCGTTATGAACAGAATGAGACCAAAATATTTTTTTGGCTTTAAATCACTTTCAAAGTGCATAACCCCCCCCCCACACACACAAACACATAAAGAAAAAATCAAGTCGACCTTGGTGGCTTTGTGAAATAAAGGAAGCCAAGATTTTCAAAAAGAGATCCTGTTTCGCGGGACTTCAGGAATAATAAAACAAATGTCTACTGGTTATCTTATATATATATGGGGACCATTTTAACGCTTGATTTTATAGGGGGGCGGCAAATAAAGACGATTGGCATCTAGCAGGTGTCAATTGCAGACAAACCTGTTTTTTAAAATTTTGTTTTCGCTTTTTGTTTTGCATAACTGCCAAGTTAAATGAACATCCCCGTCAGCACGTGAGAACACACACCTACATACACACAGCCAACACACACACCTACAGAAGGTGCTAAAAACAACAACATCAAACTAAGAACAGGTTCTTAAATAGTCTTGTCAGATCTCGCCTCTCATGTTCTTAAAGAGCTTCTCAGAATCAGAATGGCGCGCATATCAATGCAGCCCAGGTTTTTACAATTTTTCCATGGTAAAACCAAACATTTGAAAACCTGACCTTGTGTTACCAGAATTCGGTAGAGACCTGGGCGCAAATTGTTAAATACTTGCTGAGTTGTTAAAATGCAATTATTTCAGATTTAACTCAACCGTCACGGGCATACAAAGAATAGTGTTGAAACACCATTTTCGGACGATTTTTATAATTTAAGCAACATCGAACCTGGTCAGTAACTAGATGAGTGACCGATTGGAAATGCCTGCTGCTCTAAGCGTAGACATGGTAGTGGTATCTGGGCTTAGGGCTATATCACGTTAAAACACCGGTTTTCGTACGATTCCCGAAGTTAAGCAACATCGAACCTGGTCAGTAACTAGATGAGTGACCGATTGGAAATGCCAGGTGCGTGCTGGTGGTATATGGGCTTAGGACCATATCACATCGAAACACTGATTCTCGTACGATTAAAGAAGTTAAGTGACATCGTGCCTGGTCAGTACTTGGATGAGTGACCACTTGGAAATACCAGGTGCTGTAAGCTTGGCTGCGTGGGTAATGCAATGGATAACATTAGATAATCTAATTGTTAATGGGAGAGCCGAGTTACAATTCCGATTGTATTCACTTACGTGCAGTACCTTCCGGAAAAGTATGGATCCATCTCTTCCCCCTCAGCTATGGGTTAAGTAGTAACATTTGTATCGCTAAACCATTATAATCGCAAAAAAATGTTTTTGTTACAATTTGGTTTTGAATAACCTGCAAATGGTTGATAAGCTATAAAAAACGAATCAAGGGCTGATTATCCGCAGAGGCATGTCTTCTAGACTTATTTACATTCTCTGGAATATAAATCGATGAAAACTACCGTAGCCACAAAGTAAGGGATCAGTTTATATATTGATTGTAATATAAAACTGATCCCTCACTTTATAGCTACGTTATAATTTATAGTAGGCATGTCTTTTAGATTTATTGATATTCTCTGAAATATAAACGTATAGAAACTACCGTGGCCACATAGTGAGGGATCAGTTTACATTGATTGTAATACAAAATTGACCACCCCACTTTATAAACACTTTATTATTTATTATTATAGGCATGTCTTTTAGATTTCTTTACATTCTCTGCAATAGAAATGCATAGAAACTATCGTGGCCACAAAGTGAGAGATCAGTTTATATATTGATTGTAATACAGAAGCAGCTTCCCTATTTTATATCTACATTTTAATTTCTTATTTGTCTACCTAAATTCTGATTAGGCATGAATCCATCTCTTCTCTCCCCAGCTATGGGTTAATTAGTAAGTATCACTAAAATATCTCCTTCCATCAAATTCTTACAATCTAAAAAATATTTTCTGGCATTAAATAACCTGCAAAGGGTTGATAAGCCATAGAAATTGAATCAAGATACGAGAACAGATACTACACTTTGATCCCAACCCAATGACCAAGAAGTGAAGAAAAGAAAGCGTGACTCGAGTCACAGTGGCTGCTTGAATGTTTCCTTATAAAGAAACAGCTAATATTTCCATTACCATATCAATGCCAGTGTCATTTGCCCTAATCGTTCAGCTGTTGTATTCTGGCACATTTGCTTGTCTTTTTGGCTACCACATACTTACATTTTTATCATGGTCAGCCTATGAACTTTCTGGCTGAAAATAGATTCACAAAACAAAATGAGAAAAACATGCTTAGACTTAACAGATGAAATTTCAAATGTTTTTTAAAATTAATTGAATGAAAAATGTAAAAATCCTATTTCATCCTTCAAAAGAACTTCTTCAGGTTAAATAATGTTTTATTGATGGTATCATAGATATGTCGGATGTAGTCCACCACTGATATCATTGGTATGGTAATATCATAGGTATGGTAATATCAGGATATTTAGGTAATTTTATCATCACCAGCCATTAAAAATTTTTTAAAAAATTTTTTTTTACCTGTATGACATGAAAACTGATTAAAATTTGCATGTCATGTGGAACAGCTTATTTATATAGATATACCGTTGTTCAAGAATTATTACTCACAAAATCATCTCCATCTCTGGAGAAATTAGGTTTAAATGTTAATTGAAGGCTGAGTTCCAAGTTCAATTGGATTCATTAAATTCATTTACACACAGAAACAAATATGATTAAAAGTATGAATCTAACTATTTCTCTCCCTCAGCTAAATTGTTAATCAAATTAAGAATATATCAATAAAATCATTCAATATACCCACTATAAAATAAATAAAATTAGTACAAAATATTTAGATAGGCATTAAATAACCCATAAAGGTGTTGATATGAACTGAAAAACAACCAAATTAAAAAAATCAAATTTCAATGTATGTCCAATATGTCTTTTTAGTCCTATCTAATAAATCAAAATGGAATAGTCCATTATAGATCTTACTGATTAGGTGATAAAATGTATACTAAGTAATTCAAGTTTTTTTTGAGAGAGAGAAAAAAAAAGAGAGAGATTATAGATTTATAATATATGTGTGTGTATTTTAAAGATTCATTTACTGTGATAAAATTACATTTAAATTGATAAGTTTGGGGATGAAATGATTTGTTAAAGATATTTTCCATATAATTATTGGTTAGAAAAAATTTTTTTTAATATTACAGTCGGAAAAAATCTGAATAAGACATTATAACATTACTTCATTATTTTTTTGAATTTTCCTAAACTTGTATTTTGATTCAATTATAGCTTGAAAACAATGTTTTAAATGAAGGATTATTAATTAATTTGAAAACTTTTAAAACCATTTATTTTATGATTTTAAACGAATCAATTTGCAAAAAAAAATCTTTATTTTTTGTAATGATTTTATAACATTTTTTTTATAATTTTAAAAATAAATATATATATATATATATATATATATATATATATATATAAAAAAATATATAACAATTTATTTATTAAAGACATTTTATTTATGTTTAACGTTGTTATTTTTATAGATACAAGTAAAACTCTGTTTATTAAAACAGTAAAAAAACATCTGGCCTGAATGTCTGAGAAATTTTCATAGAAAATATTCGTTCAAAGACAGGAAACGAACATGCATTACGGAAAATAATAATGGCGTGCCTTGACCACTCGGCCAACATGAATTTGTGGTAGACATTCAGTTGAATTTCTGTTATTACAATCTTCCATGAATCTCGTACATATATAATATATATATATCGAATATATATATATATATATATATTAAGAAATGGACGAGGTCCGACAATTTATTTATTAAAGACATTTTTTTTATGTTTAACGTTGTTTATTTTATAGATACAAGTATTTAAGCAAATGCTCTGTTTATGATAAACAGTATTAAATAACATTTACCGGCCTGAATGTCGAGAAATTTTCATAGAAAATATTCGTTCATAGACAGGATTCGAACCTGCATCCTATACGGAACCGTCATATACGCTGACGTGCCTTGACCACTCGGCCACCATGAACCTTATGGTAGACAAGGTCGAATTTACTGTTATAAACTTACAATCTTCCATGAATCTCGTACATTCATAACTGCTCTGGCGTATCGAATGTGTAAACAAATGACGTCATATGTTAAGAAATGGACGAGGTCCGACAATTTATTTATTAAAAGACATTTTTATTTATGTTTAACGTTGTTTTTTTTATAGATACAAGTATTTAAGCAAATGCTCTGTTTATGATAAACAGTATTAAATAACATTTACCGGCCTGAATGTCGATTTTTTTTTCATAGAAAATATTCGTTCATAGACAGGATTCGAACCTGCATCCTATACGGAACCGTCATATACGCTGGCGTGCCTTGACCATTCGGCTTAAATGAACTTTATGGTAGACAAGGTTGAATAAATTATAAACTACAATCTTCTTATAGAATTGTTCGTACATTCATTTTTTAACAATATGGCGTATCGAATGTATTTAAATGACGTCATATGTTAAGAAATGGACGAGGTCCGACAATTTATTTATTAAAGACATTTTTATTTATGTAAATAACGTTGTTATTTTTATAGATACAAGTATTCAAATGCTCTGTTTATGATAAACAGTACCGATAACATTTACCGGCCTGAACTGAGAAATTTTATTAAAATATTAAAATCCATTTTGATTCGAACCCATCCAACGGAACCGCCATATACGACAACCACTCTTCCAATCATTAAGAAATCAAAGTGTTTTAAACTACAATCTTCCATGAAAATTGGTTATAAAATATCTTTACGTTTCTAAGAAAAATTCAATGTAATTTTAATAATAAGGCAAACTGCATTTTTTAAATAAAAAAATTTTAATTTAAACGTTTTATAAAAAATGTTAATAAATAAATATATAAAATTTTAACATATGATCATTTGTTTATATATAAAATATGAATAAATGATTGTAGTTTGAACATAAATTCGACCTGAATTTTGAAAAAAAAAATGTATTTATCTGATCAGTTTTGAATTTATGAACGAATATTTTCGGAAAATTTTTGATTTCAGATATAAAAATTTACTGTTTATATAAATGGCATTTTTTTTTAAAACTGATTTATAAAAATAACAATAACTTTTAAAAAAGTCTTTAATATATAAAAATACATTTATTAACATGAATAGTCATGTTTACATATCAATAGAATAATGGATAGCGTATCAGTAAAAGTAAATAAATTTTGTTACAATATATCAATTTGCCAAAAAAGAAAAGGTTTCAAATCATGAACATATTAAAAGACATTTTTTAAATGTTATTTAATATGTAGAATAAACATTAAAATATATCTATAAAAATAACAACGTTAAACAATAAAATTTAAATTTATGATATATATAAATTAAAAAAAAATGAACTATTAAGATATATAAACATCAATTTATAGATATTTTTATTTTTACAAAAATAGTTTCAATGTAAATTTACAGAGGATATATATTATAAAAAATTGATTTAAAATAGTTTTTTTTTGTCTACACAGTTTAATTTTTCAAAATGGAAGCTAAAAGCCCTGAATTTAATAGATAATTAAATTAAAGATTTAGTTCCATTTCATCCTCACTAATTTTGGAGATAACTTAGAAAATTACTGGGTTTTAAAGAAACAGCTAAAATCATAATTCATGTTTCCAAGGTTACAGATGAATCCATTTTACTAGACAAGGTATGTCTGGGTGTTCATTATGTTTATAATTTAATGTATCCGTTATATATACATTTATGTAGTGGGTAGGGATGTATTTTTCAATGAAATCTAACATCTGTTTCTTCTGTTGAATGTCGTCTGGATTTTTTTAAAAATTTTATTGTTAACGGCAAAAATTCTTATGGCATTTTTTCCAAATTCGTATATTTAAATTTGATTTTTTGGGGGTGTTTAGGTTAGAATATTTTTATTTAACTACGATTTGAAATATATTTTTTTTAATTTTTAATTTTTAATATACTATATTTCTTTTTAAGAACAATTAAATGTATTTAGAATTTTACTGTATGTAGAATTATTTCATCTCTTACATATGTT